TGCGGAAGTGGTTTTAGATTCTCAGTGCTGTGCTTCAACCCACTGCGCCACCAGGGAGGGCCGGAAGTCTTTTTAATATGTGCCATTTTCATGAATATGAGATGGTATCGCGTTGTAGTTTCAGCTTCTCTCTCTTACTGGAAATAATGATGAGTATTTTTTTTTCATGTTTGTTGGCCTTCTGGATATCCTCTTTGGTGAATTGTCTCTTCATATCTGCTGCATATTTATTGATTGGGGTTTTTTTGGTTGCTGAATTTTGTGAGCTTTTTGTTTATCTTAGGATTGTGTGAATATTTCTTCCCTTATTCTTCCATAATAAGGGTGTCTTTTTTTTTTTTAATTGAGGCAACATTGGTATATAACACTGTGTATGAGTTAGAGGTATAGGATCAGGATGAGATACTTCAAGTGTACATTGCCACACCTTAATAGGGTATCTTTAATCTTCTTGGTTTATTTTTTTATTTCCTTTGCCTTAAGTGTTGAGGCTCCAAAAGCATTATTGTTGATGTCATGGAACATATCAACAATATTTTCTATATATTTTATCATTGTAGGCATTATATCTAAGTCTTTACTCCATTTGGAATTTATTTTTGTGTATAGAGTTAGAAAGTGAGCCAATTTTATTGTTTTGTGTGTGGCCTTCCAATTTTCCCAGCACTATTTAATGAAATTATAGTTTTCCATTGTACAATCATAGCTACTTTATAGATTAGGTACTGATAATGACCATGGGTTTATTTTTGAATTTTGCATTCTATTCCATTAATCCATGTATCTTTTCTGGTGCTAATATATTTATGTTGCCTTATAGTTAGGTTTGAAATCAGGTAATATACTTTTTCTTAAATTTTCTTAGGAAAAATTGCTTTTGCAATTTGATGCCTTTTGTGGTTCCATATGGATTTCATGATTTATTTATTTTTTGTCTTTGCTCAATTTCCTTAAAAATATTGATAGTGTTTTTATGGGGACTGTGTTAAATTCATAATTTTAGGTAGAATTGTCATTTTGATTGTATTGATTCTCCCCATCCATGAGTATAGGATTGCCTTCCATTTTCTTGTTTGAATCCTTTAACAAATCTTGTAGTTCTCTTTGTATTTTAAAAAAATACTTTGAGCAAGAGGGATATTAACATTTTGGTTAAAGTTGGATAAATTTTTTGTTGTTTAAGATACCAAGTCTGTGTGTGTTGTTACGGTAACTCAAACAGACTAAAATATATTTGTTTGTACATACACACTCATATCACTTTTGTTTTAGGGATTATTTATTTATTGCATTAAGAACTGGGGTGTAGGTCTGTGGTGTGGGAGGTGAGAGGATTCACCACATATACACTCGTATCACAGCTTACAGTTATGAAAAATTGAATAGGTGACAATATTTTTTAGTAGGGGATTGGGTATATAAATTATGACAGAGACATTTGAGTACCATCTAGTCATTAAACATAATGTATCTATGATACAAAAAGTATATGTAGTGAGAAGGTTGTTGAACAGCTCACAGTATGATTTTATTTCACTAAAAAATAAGCTTTAAAGGAAAACATATCCAAAATGTTAAGAATTGAGTCTACTAGTTTGTAATTACATAGTCTATTTATATGTAGATACTTGTATTGTCTATTTTCACAATTGACTATTTTTATAATATTTCAACTTGGTAAAAAGCATAGAAAGGACTATATATATAGAGTCCTTTTTTATAAGACATTTGTTTTATAAATATAAATATTCCTTTACCATCACACAAAGAAACTATCTTGTGGACTAATTTTCAGTATTGAAAAATATCCATAGTATACTTTTCATAATAAATATAAGTGCAGCACTTTGAACTGTCTTCTGGGCCTAATATTTTAAACTCTTCCATGCGTATTTCATGATCCTGGTAAGGAGTTTCCTGAGCTAACACTTTGTCAAGGCCAGAGAATTACGAAAACACAACTGTTGTAAAGGAAGTGAATTAGCCTACATCTTTTTCAGTCACTTTTTACCTCATTCTATAAGTTTTAGCTTAAGCAGCTAGGCTTCAGTTTAAAAGTGTATCCTTAATAAATAGTTTTGTGTATACTCTTTTGAAGATTTATTGAATTGTTAACCATTTTTTATAAACTTCCTCTAAGGTATTCCCATCTGTCAGCAACACTTAATTTGGAATAACATGGAACTTGAAGATGATTATTGCTTGAATGATTACAAGTGAGTGTAATTGCATATTAGCTGTTTTATAGATGTTCAATATTATGACTCCATGTACCAGTGTTTTTCTTCTGAATCCTTGAAGCATGTCTCTTCTAAATAGTTTTGATCTCTAGAGTCAGTGTCCTTAACTATGATACTATTGGCTCTCTACTCTGTACTACTTGGTTTTATTCCTTTGATTCTTTATTATTCATACCAAATTGTTATTCCTTGTCAGTTTAGAGCTTCCTCTTCTTATTGTTCCTTCCTTTGAATATTGATCGATTTCCATTTGGCTAGTTTCCTTTTTACATTTTTCAGAAATTACTGGGTGAGAAAAATGTTATTCTTCACCATGTCTTTCCTTTTTCATTATGCTTGCCTCCTGTTACTAAGTGACACTGTACACCACTGATAGCAGACTACTCTGTTCACGTCTGTTCACGGTTTGTCTGTTTCTTCCTTCTCTTTTCTAATTATATACTCTTAAGGGCAAAGGGGTTAGAGACAATGTTGTGTAGCTGGGGAAGAACTTTGGGAATTGGGAGACCTTGTAGATTCACTATTTTCCTATTTTCTACTTTATTATACAGATGCTATTTTCCGACATTTCGCATCTTAGACAAAGCTCTTTTTTGTCTTAGGGCCTTGTTTTTCCTTATGTGTGAAATGAAGAGGCTAAGCCATGTGATTACAGAGATCCTTTCCAGTACTTTAATTCTGGAATTTCATGTCATATTTCAGAATTATGAGGCGTTCACTTTGATATCATTTACATAAGAGCATTTTATATTTAAGAACATTGCTGTGTATTTTTTATATAGTAGAGAATAAGCACTGTGAGTGACAAACCAGGAATAATTGTATGTGTAGGTGTGTAATATTGAATTCATTTTGATGATTATGGTTTATTTTTGTGTTAATTATCTACAGCATATCAGAAGGTTGTACCTTGAAGCTGGTATTGGCTATGCGTGGTGGACCTATAAATACTAGAAGAGGTAGGCATGTTAAAATTATATTAAAGTATCCTGATACTAAAAATCTCCAAGCCTTTTTTTTTTATAGACTCAGGTTATATTCTGATTTTCTGTTACTAAGTCTTAGAAGAACCAAATTTGTTTCTCTAGACATTGTTCTATAAAACCTAAATCCACAGAAGTGAGTACTACTGATATTCTAGAAAATCTCATGATGCCAGTTTCAATCCAGGGAGATTTAAAAGTAAATCTTACCTGTATAGGGAAGAGCAAATAGAATGGCATAGTATAAATAATATGCTGTTATTGTGTTCATGTTCATAACAGTCTTGTTGCTTTTGTTATTCACTCTTTTGAATCTTCAACTCTCGGTGCTAGTGATTATTAGAGAAAATTCCAAAGACGACTGTTAGCTTCGTTTGTGATATAGTTGAATTTTATGGATATATTCGTGGTCCTCTTAATTCCTTTTTTCCAGAATGTGGTGGGGCCTGGGGAATCAATTCAGTCATTCAACAAATATTTATAAAGTATCTATTAGATGTCCAGTGCAATATCCCAGGTGCAGTAAACATATAGAAAAAGGCCCTGCTTCGAACACTTCCCACATGTAAAGAATTGATGTCATTTCAAGCAGTCATAAGTACTATGGATGAAATAGGATAGTGTGATACTTTCTGTGGAAATAGAATAGTAGGAAAATGATTGTGAAATGGGTCTTCAGAGAAGATAAATGAATGGAGACTTCACTAAAAAAAAGTTCTGAGCATGACAAGAGCTGGAAGTGTTCACATTAGTCCCTGACTCAGGTATGTTACATACATCCCCAACAGGTAAAGGCATCCTTAGATTATTCAGAGCATTCCTGCTCTGTGGGCTCATTTTGGGGAAGGTCTGCGTATTTGCTTGATCCTTTATTAACCTGAAAATTGAAGATTAAGTATTGATTTTACTGCAAACTTACTTCTTCCACAGGCAAAATTTAAATCTGTTTCATAATCTTGGCTGGAAAATAGGGCTATTGCTATCTTTTCCCTAGTTATTTCAAGAGTATTTTGCGAGGTGTGTTACTTTGTTGGACCATTTTGGATAGATTAGAAAAAAACAAAGATAATAGTGTAGAGCTGATTAACTAGCATTTCTAATAGAAAGGACATTCTATTAATTGGACTTACAAAATTATCCTGTGTGACATGAGATGAATATAGTGCCAATTCTGAGGGTAATACAAGGACAGTAAGTGTTTACTGAGACACTGTGTCAAGATAGAACATATAGTGTCCAATCACCTGAATTCCATTTTGGTTTACTTTTGAAAGCTGGTTTATGTGTAGCATTATGTTTAATCAGAACAGCTACTTCTCTTATTAGGGATAATTATGTGTATGAGGAAGAGTAAGTGCTACATGATATAGGTATATGTGTATATTTTAAAAAAAATTGCTTAGTGAAAATGAAAGGCAGCTACTTTTTGGTAGTTGAAGCTTTAGAATGCCTTTTCCCCAACAACTTTTCTGTGCCTTGTTTGTGAATTGGAAAATCAACACCTAGAAATTATTGTTTTAATTTGTTAAATTTTAATAATTTTGCCTTTATGGAATCAACTTTTTAAAGTTAAAAACTTTGTTACCTACCTTATATCATTGATAGCTTCAGAGGGAAACAAACTATGCAGATCTAGAACTTCTTTATACTGTAATTGAGAAACCATTAAGCTATTAGCCTGAAAATCATATTTAACTTGTAAAGTTGATTTTAAAATAGCTATTACCAAAATACCTTAGAAAATACTTAGTGTTTTAAATGAAAAAACAATTTTTTAGAATTAAATTTTATTCTCTATATGCAGTGTTTCACACATTATAAAATGATTTTTCTGTTCTGAAAGACATGTACAAACACATATTCAACCCATTTGCTTCCTTAAGTAAGTCATACTATGTTGGTTTAAGCAAGACTTTCATGTGCCTTTAGTAATGGTAGGAATGCTTCCATTTTTTAATGTAATAAAGAAAGTGTATTAACTTAAAAATTATGAGAACTTGTTACAAAAATGTCTTTTATTTATTTATTTATTTTTTAAGATTTATTTATTCAGACAGCACTAGGATACAGGCCAGAGATGCAGAGGGTGAGAGCATTCACCAGAGACAGAGTGGGGAGCAGAACAGGCAGATCACGAAGTACACTGCTGAGGGGAGCAGCGGGCAGGTCAGGAGAGGTCTGCCGCGCCATGTGGTCACCTCCCGGGCAGGCAGGGATCGAACTCATGCGGAAGTGGCTTTAGCTTCTTAGTGCTGTGCTTTAACCTGCTGCGCCACCAGGGAGGGCCCAAAAATGTCTTTTAATAGTCACATTTTGTGCCTATGAAAGAGTCAATCACATTTTTAAAACTTTTAAAAAATTTATTTATATATATTTTACATTTTTGTTCATTTTTGTACAATATTTGCTTTCTCTTCTCAGGTGTAGTCCCCATCAAATTCCCACCACCAATTCACCCTGCACCATCACCATAGTCCCTTGTGTTCTTACTTCCCCTGTTTTGATTCCTCTCCCTCCTCGTCCCCTGCATAATGTCTCTACCAATGAAGTATTTTTTAATATAAGCCAAATCTTGTATTATTAAAGTTTTTGTGTATTAATAATGGTGGTATTGAATTTAGAATATAGAATTTATCTTCTTTCTTTTAGAGCTTAATGTCTTGTTGCAGTAACCTTTTTTAAAGGTAGTACAACATTGTGACTTAATAAATAAGCTACTTGAAAGTTATGGAGTTGGGGAAATTGTTGCTTTTTTTAGGAGCCAGTGTTAGGGGCAAATGTTTCTGTAGCTTGACATGAGAATGTTTATTGTAACCTCTATATCAACTCCCACGACTGGGTTTCAGAGGCTTTTAGAACACTTACACCATGAGCCAGAATCTCTTGAGGCCCATTCTCCCCCCACCATGGTGTAGAATTTACTATGGACAAGAATGGGTCATAATGATGACTCTAGTATCATTCAAACCTGAGGACATTTGTGGGCCCTATAACCTAGGAGGATTTGTAGTGGCCCCAGTCAATGTACTTTAACAAACTAGACACTTGAATACCTATAAGGACAATTGGGATCCTGGAAGAGTGTTTTCAAGAAACATGCTAACTTGCAAGCATTGCAGTTAAGTAAGCTAAGTCTCCCTCTGGTGTTCTGAGTTACTGTCTACTTTTAATTACCTAATTTCATGTCAACATGAAATTCTAAGAATCAGCCTATATATAAAACCAGAAAGAAAATGATTCACTTGCTCCTTATTTCTTACATCCTTAATTGTGTTGATTGTTTTTAATCTAAACTAAATGGGATTTATATTGCTTTCAAGTGATTATTGAAACAAGTATAGGAAGCACAAGGTGTAAAGTAAAAACACTGATTGATAGATAATACTGTCATAGCATCAACATGTACACAAATGCTAGTGACTGGAGTAACCTCAAGGACTTGTTTAAACCTCTTTCTACATAACAAGGTAATGATGAATTTCATTTTTTCCCCCATAAAATACAGCATAGGGAATGCTATGTCTATAAAAATACCAGAAATTTACTTTAAAACTGTCATATATGTGTTATATGCAGAGTTGTTCAGATTCAGAACATAATATCTTGTCACTGTACTAAGAAGCCTACAATGGATAGAAATTGAAAGCCTGTTTATCAATTTTTCTCTTTGTAGTTCCTATGGAAGATCCACTTAGGGAGATGGCTGAGTACATGGATTCCAATCGAGATGAGGTCTGGGAGAAGACCTCCTGCAACAAACAAGTTACATTTTTAGTATACCGAGAAGGAGACCAATTGAATTTTTTTCGTGTAGTTGATAGGGGAGATGGAACTTTAACACCATTATCTGAATCCTTAAGGTAAACAGGGTTTTGTCACTTTAGAAGAGAACAAACATCATATGAAACGCTCTGTAAACTTTTGTGTTTACCTTGTGTTATCAAAATAATCTTATATTTACAAGACTAACGAAACATCGTGCATTTTCTTCCATCCCTTGTGCCAGGTATGTAATTTGCAGTTGTTCTCCAGAGATTGCTATTTAGGTAATAATTTCTAAAAACTGAAATTTCTTTATGGAGTAGCACTTTTTTCATAAAAATACTTAGTTCTTTCACTTTATGAAACTCCAACATGCCTACTAGATTATAGTCTTGTTATAATAGTGTATTTTTGTACAGCCTTGGCATAATGGAAACGGTTGAACCTAAAGTTGCTATTTTTCAAAACTTTGCTGCTTAGTGGTAAATAGATTTCTTTATTCCTATGGTATTGTTTTATTCTATAAAAGGGAAGGTTTGTTATATTACTTCTAAAATTAGAAAGAAGCACCCTGAAGGTGCTTAGCTAGGCAATAGAACAATAAGGAATTGGACAGAATAACCTTTCAGTTTTTGTTCACTCTTACTGTAATTCTTTTATTCCTTTCTCTTTAAGCCACTAAACATTTTCTGAACTTTTATAACCAGTGTCTATATTACAAACTGGATTACAAAGATGATTGTTCCTCCTCTCAGCTCTAGGTAGGATACATAATATAACTTAGGCGGTTATTATAAAAGTTATAACATCTCTGGGCAGCCTTTGTTGTCCTTTGTTTGAGGGGCCTTTATTTTTCTGAAGGGTAATAGAAGCTAGGCAAAACCTGTGATAAGAAGTGACCTTAAATGAGGAGTAGACACTAGCCAAATGGACAAAGGAAGGAAAGGTATTATAAGTAACTAAATTTAATCACCTAATATATACAGCTAATGGCAAAACTATTCATCAAAAAACCTGTAGTCTGGAAAATAGTTTCTGTGGGTCAGTGTAGACAAAGTACTCTCAACTCAGGGTCTCACAAAGTTGTAATCAAAGTATTGACAAAGGTGCATAGATAATCTTTCATTCTTACCATTGGCATAATTCACTTCCCGGTGGGATGTGACTGAGGACTCTGGTATTTGCTGACTCTAACTAGAGGCTCCCTCAGTTCCCTTTGATTAATTCAGAACCAGCTGATTGGGGGCATAAATTATACCTGCAAAGTCTCTCTGTTTGCCATATTCTGGTGGCTACATGCAAATCACAGGTCATACCCACTCATGAGAGTAGGATATTACACAGGGGTGTCCAAGCTCTAGGGAGCTAAGATTTCAGTAGGTTTCTGCCCACCACACACAGTGTTATGTCAAAGTAAGTGTAGGCCCCTTCTTTGAGGTCACAGAGTAGTGTTGACGTAAATGTTACATTTGCCTAGCTCTTATTCTTTAGTCATATTACTAAATTAAAAGACTTAGAAAAATAAAGATGGCCTTCATGAAAAGATTTACAGTATTTGAATGTAAAGATATTTTGGATTATGTTTATAAATTACTATTATCTTTAGCCTGGTTACATATTTCCATTAAAAAAAAGTGACTTTTAACTGATCTTATGAGTCTGTGCTTTGTGAGATAAAACACAATAGTGGGTTCTTTGAAAAATATTAGGTGAATTTAAAGGTTTTTTTTTTAATCCTTTTGAGTGCATTCATTGAATTATTTCATGATTGTATATTTTTACACAGATTGTTCTCCATAGAGAAATTAGGTAAAAGGCTAGCTTTTTAAACACAGGAAGATTGAGTCAGAAACCTCTTTCAGTATAGTGTTAAAATTAAAACACCCCATCATGTAACAAAGAAGTACTTAAAGTTAATTAATGCAAGGTAACCAAGAATAGAATTGAGTCATTTCATTTCCAACTCCGAGGGTGAACTTGCAGAAATTTTCACTCATCTCTCCTGTTCAAGTATCGTTAACCTTGAGAAAAAAATCTTTCACTTATGTGGGTACACAAGCACTGTGCAGTAAAGGTCTATTATTGATGTTCAAGGAAGCAACATGAAGTAGTTAAAAAATAGACTTTGGGGGCCCTCCCTGGTGGCGCAGCGGGTTAAAGCACTGCACTAAGAAGCTTAAGCCACTTCCCCATGAGTTCGCTCCCCGCCTGCCCTGGAGGAGATCCACATGGCATGGCAGACCTCCTGACCCGCCCGCTGCTCCCCTCAGCAGTGTACTTCGTCAATCTGCCTGTTCTGCTCCCCACTCTGTCTCTGGTGAATTCTCTCACCGCCCCTGTATCTCTGGTCTGTACCCCAGTTCTGTATGAATAAATAAATAAATCTTTAAAAAAAAATAGACTTTGGAATCAGACAGATGGGGGATTTGAATTTTATGTCCACCATCTACTAACTCTCTGGTCTGAGCAAAGGCAGCCTTTCTAAATTATAGTTCATTTATAAAATGGGACATAATATCACCTAAATGGGGACCTTTTAATACCACCTTTTATGAAAATCAGAAATAATATGTGAAGATTAGGCATTCAGTAAATGGTAAGTAATGTTACTAATATAGCAGTGTCAATTTTCATACTACAGTAGGCATTATAATAGGTAGAAGTGTTGGCCTCAAGTCAAGGACTTAGGGCCTGCGTTGCTTATAGAGGACAGATCCTGCTGTTCTTCCTGTTGATATCTATGCTTGCTGAGCCTGTAATTAACTCAGAATTTCAAAATGTCATCAGTTCCACCCTGTAAAATTCAGAATTGGGCCAATTTACTTTTTAAAAAAAATAATATAGCAGTTTATTTTTACATCATTTTGAGCCTTTTTCCATCTCAGTTATAATCCCCCGTGGGCTTCCCGTCACCAAATCACCCATGTGCCATCACCATAGTCCAGTGTACAACCTGCCTCCCCTCCCCCAATTTTGATCCCATTTCCCACTCCACTCATATAAAATGTCTCTGGTATATAGTTGTTTATTATTATTATTATTTTCTCCCCTGGTCCTTTATATGCCTGCTATGAGTGAAACCATGCAGTATTTTTCCTTTTCTTTTTGGCTTATTTCATTAAGCATGATCCCTTCCAGCTGCATCCATGTTGCTGCAAAAGGCATGGGTTTATTTATTTATTTATTTATTTTGGTTGCTGAGTAATATTCCATTGTGTATATGTACCATATCTTTTTAATTGTACCATATCTTTTTAATCCAGTCATCTACTTTTGGACATTTGGGTTGATTCCCTGTCTTTCCACTTGTAAATAAAGCAACAGTAAACATGAGGATAGGGATGTAGGTGTCTTTTTGAATCAGTATTCTTGTGTCTTTTGGGTAGATACCTAGGAGTGGGATTTCTGGATCATATGGAAGCTCCATTTTTAGCAGTTTGAGAAACCTCCAAACAATTTTCCACAGTGGTTGTACTAGTTTGCATTCCCACCAGCAGTGCAGGAGAATTCCTTTTTCTCCTCATCCTCACCAACATTTGTGGTTGTTAGTTGTTTTGAGATGTGCCATTCTCACTGGTATGAGATGGTATCTCATTGTGGTTTTAATTTGCATCTCCCTTATTACAAGTGATGTTGACATTTTTTCATATGCTTTACTTTTGATTTTATTTTTATTTAGCAGTGCTCTGAGCTTCAGAAGTGTAGAATACACTCTATAAGGCTATCCTCAATTATTTCTACTTTTTACAACCATATAGAACAGGAAATTTTATTAAACCTGATTCTTCTTTAGCATAGATATTTAGAAATAAATCTGGCACAGTGACATATACATTCTTACTTTGCCCTACTTAAATACCCTATTTAAAATACTAACTCTTCAATATGCCTAGCTTGTGTTTTTCCCCCAAGTCCTTTTTGTTCTGATTTTTCCCAACATTGAACAAATGAATGAAATTTCAGTAATGTTATGTTCAGTTCAGCAAACATTTATTAGATGTGTTTCAAGCACCTTACTAATTGCTGAGATTTGGGATATGAAAAAAGCCTGCTTTCAACTTTCTTGCATATGGAGCTAGAAGGAAAGGTAGATTGTATGTATGTATTTGAGAATAGTGTGATAAATGCCTTTATAGTATGTAGTTAAAGAGAAGGTACTCCAAAATGATAGTTATGTTAAGGTATGACAAAATGTCATGGTGATTGATCAGTAATTGAAATGTTTTACATATCTAATAATTTGTGTTATGACTTAAAAGGAGTATCTTTTTTTCATGTTAAATCTGTACTGTTCTTAGTGGTTGTGTTTCCATACATACTGAGAAAAATCCTAAGTTACCTGTTACTTTGTTGTTAAGAACAGAAAATGTTCTGATACACTGAGTTCCCTTTTTTTAGTGAATAAAATTCTTGACTTGTGTATTATTTCCTTTTTCACCCTGGTTAATGAAAATTGGATCAGTTTGTGCTCTAGGTTACACAATTATTAATCTTGACTGACACACTCAAATCAGAATTTTTTTTTTTGGTGGAACTGGAGTTTTGCTTCTGTAGAACTGATATAACAAGTGCCAAAAAATCTTTACCATATGGTTTATTTACTTATGGTTTATTTACTGAGTTTCAGAGAAACTCAGCTTTACTAATGCTAGTCCATGATGTTTATCCTCTTTTCCCCTATGAAATTTATTTTAAAATACATTTACTTTTCATTTACCTTGACAAGTGGCCTTACGGCCTTAATTTTTACTACTTTTTTTTTTTTTAAGATTTATTTATGCCCACAGAACTTGTGAACAGTCCAGAGGTGCAGGAACAGTGAGAGAATTCACCAGAGGCAGAGTGGGGAGCAGAACAGGCAGATCAACCAAAACATACTGCTGAGGGGAGTAGTGGGTGCGCCAGAGAGATCTGCCACAGCATGTGAATCACCTCCCTCATGTGGGGGATCAAACTCACGCTGGAACAGCTGCCACAAGCTTCATGGTGCTGCTGCACTTTAACCTATTGTGCCACCAGGAAGGGCCCTTATTGTATTACTTTTAGCAGTATATATAGTTACTTGCACATAGAGTATTTTTAGTCATTGGGGTGTATTAAATAACATTAATGATAATTGTCATATTTTTTTTTGCAGTGGTGGTTCTGTGTATAATTTGTATACTGATGAGGATGAGGAAATTGAGTCTTCTCCTTCTGGGCAACAGATAATTGAAAATTCAATAACTATGAATAAGATGAAGCTGCTGAAGGCCAAGATGGAGAACATGAATCTCAGCAAAAAGGTGAAGCTGTTGGCCCTTGGTCAGCCTTTTTCTCTCTTACCTCTGCAGAGCTCACAGCATTGAGGTCTGTTGGTAATTCTGAAAGTTTCTTTATGAAATATTATTTGTTTCAAGTTTCTGGCCTCACTTACTTATTGAGATTAAAAATGATGAGTTGATCTTTAAGGTAAGCAACACATCTAATGTGCTTAACAGCAATTAAAATAATTCATGATTTAAAAATATTTCATAGTTTTAGGGCTAAGAAAGTTAAGGAGACAGCTTATTCTTAATCTTGTAGTAATTTTTTAAATGTTCTCTTACAATTGATATCTTCTCTTTCTGGGTTTAATAACAAGTATGTCTATGTTCAACTTTACTCGATGTTATCAGTTTTCGAAGTTCAAATAGTTGAATACAATTTACATTCTGTTCAGTGGTGAGAGTTGCAGTGTTCATACATTCTTACCAGTATTTGGTTTCATCCTTTTTTATTTTTATCTTTCTGGTTCATATGTAGTTCTAATTTGCATTTTTCTTGACTAATGAAATTGAACTCCTTTCATATGTGTATAGGATATTTCTGATATCCTTTTTTTGGTAAATGCCCTTTAAACTTTTTGCCATTTTTCTATTGGGTTGCATGTGTTTAACTTACTCATTTTTGTAAGATCTTTATATATTATATATATATATATATATATATGTATGTATGTATATATATATATATCTCATATATATGCCTCATATATATCTCACCACTGTTACTTTTTCCATTTCATTAATGACTTAACCCTTTTACTTATTGAAATATAATGTATACATATAATAAAGTTCACAATTTTTAAATCTACATCTTGGTGAATTTTTACATTTATTTACAATTGTGGGTATAATCTAAATGAAGATAGGATCTCTTTCCAGATTTCCTTGTAATCTTTCCTAGTTAATACATACCTTCCCATACTCCCAGAAATAACTATTATTATCTGTCACAATAAAAATTTTGAATGTTCTTGAACTTTGTGTAAGTGAAGTAATATAAATATAATTTTTGTTAACCCAGTTTCATTTGCTCAATGTAATACTGTAATGATTCATCCATGTTGTGTATGTAAGTTCATTTCTTTTCCACTGCTCCATACTATTCCATTGTATGGCTATGCCTCAATTTGTCTGTCTCCTTTTGATAAATATTGGGATGTTTCTGGTTTGGGACTTCCTTCAATAAGGCTACTTTGAACATTCTTACATATTTCAATGGTGGACCTTTTTTTTGGCGTATCCCTAGGAATCAGAGTAGTTAATTGTGTAGCTTAGTAGTTATGCCAGTTTGAATCAATTTACACTCCCAGTAGTAGCAGCATGAGTGTTTTCATTTTGTGTCACATGTGTCCACCATAGAGATTGTCAATCTTTTCATTTTAGCTATTCTGGGGAATGTTTAGGGATTTTAATTTGCATTTCTTTGATGAGGAATAATGTTAAACATTTCATATGCTAACTGGCCACTAAGATTTTTACCTTTGGTCTTTACATCACGTGAACCACATTGTTTAAAAATAGGAATTTTGTTTAAAAAGATGATTTTTGTCAAGTGCCTATTCAAGTCTTTTTTTTTCTTTTGCCCATTTTTCTTATTGACGTGTCTTCATTTTGCTGATTGATTTGTACTCATTATTATATACTATGGATACAAATTCTTTTTCAGATACAAATTTTATAGATATTCTAACATTGTAGCTTGCTCTTCTATTTTCTCATTCTCTTAATAAATAAGTTTAATAAATTGTAACTTACCAGTTTTCCTTTTATGATTGTATGGTTGCCACTTCTTACTACTATTTTTCTTAAAGATTTATTTATTTATGCATATAGAACTGGGGTATAGGCCAAAGGTGCGGTGGATGAGAGGATTCACCAGAGACAGAGTGGGGAGCAGAACAGACAGATCTGTTGAAATACACTGCTGAGGGGTCAGCTACCTGGCCAGCGGATCAAACTCATGCTCCTGTGGCTTCAGAAAGCTTCACATTGTGGTGCTCTAACCCACTGCACCACCAGGGAGAGCCCCCTTACTACTTTTTAAGGATATTTCCTGTCACAGGTCTTGACCATGTGTGCTTTTCTCCAAAAACACTGTGGTTGTTCCTCTGTCATATAAATTTATAATCCTATCTGCAAAAAATATTAGCTTTGTAAAAGTATAATGTGAAGTGGGGTGAAGATAATTTTTTCCAGGTGGAGAACAGTTGACTTACCTAATGTAGGAAAATCCTTTCCTTATAGTCCTAAATATTTAGGGACTTAATGATAGAACAAACATCAGAATATAAGAAGCAAAAACCATAAAGAGAAGCAAATCTATGGGTAGAATGTTTAATCTTCCATAGAAGATTTAAACATCTCTACTTTCAAAATGGATAGAAAAATTAGAAATGATATGAGAAAACTTGAATAACACTTACTTGTCCAAACTTATACTTACAGAATGTTCCAGCTAAGAATAGTAGGATACATCTTCATTTAAGAACACTCAAATATTCACTTGGGTTAACATGCGTATTTATCAATAAAATTCTCACAAACTTTAAAGAATAAACTAATATTCTCCCTGATGGCCTAGGGGTTAAGTCTCAGCACTTTCACCCTGATGGTCTGAGTTTGATTCCTAGCCAGGAGCTAACCCACATATGGCACAGCAGACCTCTCCTGTCTTCTACTGCTCCCCTTAGCTGTGTATTTCAGTAAAATCCTCCTCTTCTACTCTTTCCTCTGTCTCTGCTGAGTCCTCTCCACCCCCTTGTTGTGCCTCTCACCTATACCCCAGATCTTCTACACAAGAAGGTGCCTAACCTATTAAAAGATATATATATATATATATATATATATATATATATAAGTGCCCCCCCCCTCTTTTACATTGGATAAAATTAGAGGTCAGTAAACAGAAAAATGTCTGGAAAATATATTTTGGAAATAATATAAAGACTTTTAAGTAATTAACTTGTCAAAAGGAAATTAGAAAGTATTTTGCACTGAATCAAATGTCCTCATAATGTGGTGAACTTATTTTAAAATATGAAATCATTCTTATATTCTTGGAATGAACCACTCTTGTCATGACATCATGTTTTTCCTTTTTAGCTTTAGAAGTAATGTGCTAATTCTAGAAGTTGTAAGTATTATATTTCATTTCTGATTTTCAGCTTGAATTTTCCTTCCTGGAATCAAGCCCACAAACCATACTATATTACTGTTTTCATTTGCTTTGTATACCTTTCCCAACTTTAGAGATAGGTTGTTTCAGATGCAACTTTTTATAGAGTTGTTTTTTGCTCTGTGAACCAATTTGAAATTTGAAGTTACCAATTGTATTTAAATTTATTGATTTGACTTACATTTTGATCTTGAATATCTTATTTTGATAATTTTCAGTTTCATGGTGCATTTTCTTTTGTGTATGTATGGATATCTGTGTGTTTACTTTCTGGTATATCAGAAGACTTTTATTAATTATAACTTTGTTTTATCATATCTTTGATCTGAGATTTCCTTACTTAATCTTTTACTCGTTTGTCATCTTTATTTTTTCAAGTTAAATTATTTTAAATTTCTTTTTACATCATACTTCATTTTGTGCATTTTTACATCTCAGTTGTAATCCCCACGGGGTCATTTTTATTTATTTAAAGAGGTTTATTTACCCATGCATACAAGAACTGGAGTACAGGACAGAGGTGTGGGGGTGGAGGTGAGAGAACACAGAGAGGGAATAAGAACGAGCAGATCTACTGAAATACACTACTAAGGAGAGAAGTGGGCAAAACAGGAAAGGTCTGCTGTCCTATGTGGGTCACCTCCCTGGAAAGGCATTGAATTCGTGGTGTTGTGGCTGCAGATAGCTTCATAGTGCTGTGCCTTAATTGGTTGTGCCACCAGGGAGGTCCTTCTTTTGTCATCTTTAAAAGATATCTTCTGACTCCTACTTATTAACTAAGTTAAAATCAATTAGCTTATATTCTCCTTCCATTTTAAGGTTTTGCATTATATTTACACTTTTTTAAAATACAATATTTAAAAATCATTTTCCTACCCTTGCCCTACTATTATTTAAATTTTAGATGTTTAATTAAACATATGTCATGTTTGGTACCAGTGTTTTTATTGAGTCTTTATATTTCTTTTTAGTCAGAAGAAGCACCTCTCTGGTAAATTCCTCAGGCAAGGCTTAGCGCATAGATAGTAGTAATCCCTGAACTCTTTGTCAGGTTTTGCGCTTATAAAGGACAATTTAGATGTAAAATGCTTGGATTTTTAAAATGTTCTTTCCTTGCTTTGTATATTGGCTTTGAGGAATTTAATTATCAACCTGAATTTCAATTCTTTGCAAATTCATCTCTTTGTTAGAATTCCACCCCCCCCCCTTAAGTCTAATAGTTTTTGCTAGGATATGTCTTGGAATTAATCAAGGGGTAACTTTAGCTATACATTTTTAACTTCCCCAGCATGAAGATTAAATTTTTGTGTGACGTTTTCTTTTTCAGGAAAATCTCTTAAAAGAGTATTTAAAATTTTTTTAGGGATTTATTTTGCACATACATTGGATCTTTTTCTTCTATCAACCACCTTTTCTCTGATTCCTTTTAATTATTTTATTATTTTCAGTATTTTTGTTTATTTTTAAGGATTTATTTATTTATGCATACAAAACTGGGTTACAGGCTAGAAGTGTGTGTGTGTTGGGGGGGGGGGGGAGAGGATTCACCAGAGACAGAGCAGGGAGCAGAACAGACACGTACTGAAATACACTGCTAAGGGGCGCAGCGGATGGGTCAGGAGAGTCTGCCACGCCATGTGGATCAGTCACCTCCTGGTTGGGACACAAACTTGTGCTGCAGTGGCTGAGGATAGCTTCATAGTGCTTTGCTTGAACCCATTGTGCCACTAGAGAAATGTTATTTTTCTACTTCAGTAAACTCTAATCTCCCTTGGAAACTTGTAATTTAGTCTTCCTCTATGAGATAATTTAGTGCTCTTCAGTTATTCTCTGGGCTTGACATGCGTTCCTAGTTTTTTATCATTCATGTTTTATGTTTTTAAAATTTTGGTGTTATGTGAAGTCACTTTTTAAAAAAATATCTGCTGGATCCTCCCTGGTGGCACAATGGGTTAAAGTACAACACTGAGAAACTGGCCTGGCCGCTTCCAGTGCTTCTGTCCCCTGCCCCGGAGCTGACCCACTTGGCGCGGCAGACCTCTCCTGTCTCACAGGTTGCTCCCCTCAGCAGTGTACTTTATCAATCTGCCTGTTCTGCTCCCCAATCTGACTCTTGTGAATCCTCTCACCACATCAGCACCTCTGCCCTGTACCCCACTTCTTTATACATAAGTAAATAAATCTTTTTAAAAATCTTTAAAAATATCTGCTAATGTGAACTTAAGAATATTAATTCAGGTTGCAGTGTTGTGATATAGTTTTCTTCTGCTTCATTGTCTTTGGGGGGATATTTCCATCAGCTGAAATGTTCTAGTTCTCTTTGTTTTTTATAATGGTTTTGTATGAATTTGGTCTTTTTCTGTTTCTTTTCTGATTTGGGCAATTTTTTTTTTTTTTGCTGTGAACTATTGGGCAATTTTTAATTTACTCAAATATTAATCAGTATATATAGACAAAATTATTCTGCATAGTCAAGGAAATTCTATCATCTTTTCTTCATATAATGAAATGCATTTTTAAAAATCCGTGGCAGTATTTTTTTTAAAGATTTATTTTTTCATGCATACAGAACTCAGCGGAGCAGGGGTGGTGAGAGGCTTCACCAGAGACAGAACATATTAACTGAACAGGCAAATTAACTGAAGAGCACTGCTGAGGGGAGCTGAGCAGCAGGGGAGACAGGAGAGGTCTGCCACATCATGTGCGTCACCTCCCTGGCTGGGGACTGAAGTAGTGATGCAGTGGCTGCAAGTAGCTTCTTAGTGCTGCACTTTAACCCTTTGTACCACAGGGAGGACCCTCATAGAGAGCATTTTAAACTTGTAACTCTTTTCTATAGTATCTATCCAGTCAAACATGACTCTTCTTTCTATGAAAACTTGTTGGAGATTACAGATCAATAGTGCCCCATATAACATAATCAGTGTTTTCTTTATAGCGAAACTCTGACAGGTAATCAGAGTAAGTAAATGAAACAAACTTATTTTCCTTTAACATTCTCAGAAACTTATACTCCATGAAGGAAGACAGCAAAATTCTTCTTAATCATAAGCTTAAGATTTTAATCTTTTAAAATATTTTAAATTAAGGTAATCAAAAAGGCAATATGCTATAGTAAGTAACATTTTCTTCCTTCATTAATTTTTGCTAATAGGGAGAGAGTGACTGTGTAAAGGAATTAAATATTTACTCTCTTATTTTAGCCTAAGAAAGTTGTCAAGGTAAAACCTCGTCCACCTATAGCTCCTCGACCATCCAGTGGTTCCACAGCAGCTGCTCGCCACAGATTGTTAAGGGTTCTCCCCCACATTGGGCAGTCTTGTTTACCTTGTCCTGGGAATCCATATCTACCTGAAACCTCCGTGAATGCAGTTTCAAGTTTGGCAACTCTGTCCTCTGTTGATAGACCTGTATCATCTATCACTAGTGATTTTCTTAAGGAAGATGATAACTGGGAGAATAACAAACTGTCTCATTCCAATAGTAGCATCAAATTACCACCTCAGATACCCCATATGGAATTTGAAAATGATAAAGAGCTTGCTGATTCTATTCTCCATCTTGGATCATCCTTGGCTAGGAGGATGAAACATTTCCCAGGAAATTTGGCATCTAATGAGGACGACACTGCATTTCCAGCTTTGGAAGAATGTATAACTGATGAATCACTTCTACCTGAAGTGGGTTCTTTTGCTTCATTTATAGAAGGAAACACTGATGAACAGAACAGTGACTTAGAAGGCACACAGAAGGTAAATCCAGAGTTCTTACTCACTAATGGTGATAACGGGCTGAAAGCTACAGAGCAGCATTTAAAAAATGTCGCAAAAGTATTGTGTCATGAACCAGTAGAGACTACAATCCTAAACCACCGTGAATTAAGTCCTCACAAGAATAGACTTTTGTCACCTCTCCGCTGTTCTGCGCCAATGTCACTACATAATTCTCTGGTGAAACCACAAAGACAGTCTAAATGCTTTGAGTCTGGGAACCTCCAGTCTTCTGCTTCACAAAATGTGCTTCGGTCACTGGATGTTGGAAATATAACTGATTCTTCTTTCCCTAGGACTACTCGTTTTCGAGCTGTTAAAGTTGATTCACCTGGGAAAAGATCTGATGTTATTTCTAAAGGTGAAGCTCGGGATATCACAGAAATAGCCAACAAGGCTTCCAAAGAGCCTGTTGGTTGTGTAAATAGTATAGGTTTTCTTGCTTCCCTGACCAGGAGTGCAAGCAGAGACAGCTCACAGAGCACACGTGGGGTAGGCAGGCTTCGGACTCCTGGAATAGGTTTGTCCTCAAATCTCCATTTTCAAGAAGAAAACCTTAGGAAAAATTCTCCCCAATTAGAACCTACAGAATTTTTTCTAGTAAGTATGCTCAGTTATCCTTGTAGTTATCCTTATAGTGATTCAATATCTTTAAAGTTTGTTTTTTATTTACATAAATAAGGTGGCCCTAGATTGAATTATTCGTTTCTCTTAAAATGTCTATTAGCTTGTAGAAAAATCTTTTTTTGACAGTTAAATTTGATAATTCAATTTAGGATGCAATAATATTTTAGTCCTATATTGAGAACTATAATTTGAAAATAATTTCATGAAAACAACTTAGTATATATTTTTAAATATTTTGAACGATTTTTTTCTAAATAAGGAAACTTACTTGACCTCTCAAATTTTATTCTCTTAGAGATAAGTAATAAGTGCAATATTACTAGATGTGAGCATTGGATTCCAAGTTAATTTAAAATAAAAACCCAGTAGCATTTTCATAAAAAAATGCAAGTATTTCATGTTTGATTATCTTTTCTCCTATTCCCTATTAACTCACCTCTACAGATGTCTTGTGTTTTAATTATAGTCTTCCCATGGTATTGGAATGAATGGAAATAATACTGCTGCAGGGAAAAGAGTAGGTAAGCTATAGATAATTTTGAAGACAATTTAAGACTACTAATCATATTATGCATACTGTTGATTTTTAAAAGAGAAACAAGAACAACATTCTCTCTGGTATGTACAGTGTAAATTTCCCTAAACTTTGTTCCACTTAAAAATGATTGAGGGGTCTCCCCAGTGGTACCAGGGGTTAAAGTCTCAGAGGTATCAAGCTATATCCAACCAGTGCAGCATGAGTTCGATCCCTGGCCAAAGGATTAATCCACATTGCACAGCAGTGCTCTCCTATCTTGCCCACTGCTCCCCAAGCAGTGAATTTCAGTCTTTCAACTCTTTTGCTCCCCACTCTGTCTCTAGTGAATCTTCTCAACCTCCCACACCTTTAGCCTACCCCCCAGTTCTTGTATACATGCAGAGAGGGAAAATTACCAAAAATTACTAGAAAAAAGGGAAATATTATCAAGTTTGAGGAATTTAACCTTTTCCTGTTGGTAGTAGGGAACCTATATGGTAGTACTAGTTTTTAGCATGGAGTAGATGACTAGTAAATAGTTTTCTGTGGTTGGTAGAACAAAATATAGAAACTGTTTCCTTAGGAGAAGACTGTAGTTGTCTTTCTTACTGGCACTTATCTTTGTCACCTCATTCCTGTTCAGACGAGTTCTTAAATTAAAAAAAAAAAATTGGAAAACATTGCATTACAGACCCCCAAAGAATGAAAAAATAATGAAACTATACTGAACTAAATTATCAACAGTTTAGCCTACTATTGGTTAGGGAAGTATATTCTAAATGTCAGTTTCAAAGTTAATTCCAAGTAGTTTAGTTTCTAGAGGATATCCTATTAATATATGCCTTTCCTTTATAGCCTTTGCAAAAGTTTCTTATTTTTTTTAAGAACCGGGAAGTACCTCTGTGAAATATTCATTTAATTTCCATACGAATATTCAGTTTTCTTAGTATCATTTGTTAAAATTTGATCTAAGTGCACTTGAAGAATAAAGTGCTTATTAATTGGATTGATACCACAGAAGTCATTCAGTTAGCTGTTTCAAATATTGTCTGGAAGATTTTTTTTTTAAGTTGAGAAAACATTGATTTACAGGTTTATAACACTGTTTAAGTTTCAGGATCACAGCATCACCCCTCTGACCATATCTGCTTAACACAAAAGGCCTGTGTTTTTCTTTGTTTTCTTAATCCTTGAGTTGTCAGCAGGTGTGAACTTGTACTGTTGTAACAACTGTGGATGGTGACTCTGAGCCTTTGCTTCTGAGTAGGGTTGTTGGGATTTCGTTCACTTTTTAAAGTATTTACTTAGCAATTAAAGTAATTTCATTCTTTCTTGTAACAGATGGAGCTCTTATTTTTATGGTTAAAAAAATCAAGTTGTTGCATATAGCAGATTATTTAGTAAATATTTTTAAAAGGTATTTGTGCTGTGAAATGGGGCAGCATACCTTATTCACTGTTGCTATTATATATATAATAATATATATATAATATATATAATTATAACATGTAGAAGTTTCAGATGGATTTTATATGTGAGAACTGAGTTGACCTTATTTACCTAAGTGTTATGTTCTGTTAGTTTAAAATAAACAAATTGCAGTTTTTGAAAGAGTAAATAACTGCTTGTGGTTTTACGAATTTCATATTTGTGATGTAATCAGTGTTAAAAGAACAGGTTCATGATATTCTGGTACTCCTCTATGATGTGAAAGAACAGGGTGATTGTATTATGTTGTTTCTCACAAACCTCATGAATACAATTTTTGAACCAGAAAGGTTTTCTTCATTCTCTGTCAAAGTTTGGCATACTTTATATACTGATTGTCCTTAAAAATAATCAGATAAGTGATGCCCTGTAAATGGTCCTAAAATGTAAGTCTCAGTCACTAAAAACCTACCACATCTTTAAAATTATAATATGTTTACCATGACTTCATGTTCATGTTCTGTAAATAATATTAGATATGAAAATGGCACAATTTTTCTTATGGCATGGAAATTTGCTCTAACAGGAATGTGTTTTGTATTTTTCTTAATATTGCACATTTATAACTTAATGTCTATACTAATCAATATGTCCTTTCTCTCAACAGGTGAATGTACTCATCACCTTCCACCTGTGAGAGCCCCTATTCAAACAAAGAAGAAAACTACAAAGCATTGTTTTCTTTGTGGAAAGAAAACTGGACTGGCTACTAGCTACGAATGCAGGTAGGTTGGCCAGCTGGAGAAGCAAGGATACTTTCTTTGTAGTGATCCAGCTTGGAGCGTATATAATATAGGATATTCTTTAAATTGGCTACTTATCACATCATTAAATGATGTTCAAAGAGCAGCCCTTAGTTGAACTCCTGGTTAACTAATGTAAAAAGCAAGTAGACAGCTCAAGAATTTACAAGCTCATGAAATACTCCTTTCCCCCTTATACTAGATTTAAAACAATAGGAGAATGCCCTTTGTTTGATAGATGGCACTTGGTTTTGTTTTATTATAGCGTGGAAAAGCCTCTTCCCCAAAAATATATTTTAACCTGACACACTTACATTTGCATCAAAATTTTAATAATTATGGCATACTTTTATTTCAAAACATATATATATTGCATTTAAGAAAAATGAATTTTTTTGCTACCCATAATTATTTTAGTATTGATTAATGTGCTCCAAGAATGGTGTTTGCCTTGAGGCTGAGACCAGGTGTTGAATGTATCTGCTGCTTTTTTAGAGTCTTTGCTATTCAAATGGAAACATCTTCTTTTGAGGCTAGAAATATTTTCAAAATCCCATAATGACAGTTAGGATTTATATCACTGCATTTTCTTAGAATACTGAATTTTTGAGAAATTCAGAGTTTTCCCTAGTTTACTAAACATATTTATCAGCTTTTGCAATTTTGTTACACTGTAAAGGAATGTACCCTGTTTCATTCCATCATGGATTCTTTATTATAAACTCTCAGAGTCTTGGACCATTAACTTGCTCTTTTTGGGATGCTTGTGTTTGTTTATGGGGGGCCGTACCACCTAACGAGAGCCAAAGGGTTCCTGTTGGACTACCCAAAGTTGAGCTCTGATCACCCAAAGAGATGAACCTCTAACCAAAATATGACTATTCACATAAACTTTTTTTGTGCTTTAGATGTGGAAACAACTTCTGTGCATCACATCGCTATGCAGAAACTCATGGCTGCACCTATGATTACAAGAGTGCAGGGAGGAGATACTTACAGGAGGCAAATCCTGTGGTCAATGCACCAAAACTTCCAAAGATCTAACTCTTGCTCTGCACCTACCTGTTTTGCCTGAGGAATTGTATTACAGTGACAGAAGAAATACTGTTTAGACTGCATTATTTTTGCTCTGCTCTGAAAGATTTGCCAAATAACAAAAGCATACAAAGTGTCCTGTTGGAGAATGAGAATGCTACTGTATTTGACATCCTATTCTTTGGTGAATCAAATCAAAACTTTTAAAAATAGTTTTAAAAACTTTATGCTGTAATGATTTAGCTTTATTATTGCATGTCTTAAGTATTTTATATTTGATGTTGCAATTATACTAAACAAGTCTTCAAAAGATGCACTTTAGGAAGTTCACATTGACTATGTAACCAGCTTCCACATTGTACAGAAACGAGCTGTCATATAATAGCTCTGCACAGATCTACCACTTTTTTGGTGTATTTGGGGGTGGGTGGGATGGGTGGGGTTTTTTTTTAAAAAAAATCCCATGTGTGAAAGTTTATTGAGTTTACTACCAAGTTCCTTTTTATTTCAAGGTACTTTTTATAAAAAAAAATGGTTTTTCAATGTGGTTTTAACATATAAATATTTCTTCCATAGTCAGGTTGGAATTCAGAGATGTATCCATTCTATAAAACACATCATGTTAATTACAGCATATATTTCTTATACTACTACTTTTTGAATGGTAGCTTTAAAACAGAAACTGTCTCACTTGTTGCCTTTAAATATAGATCCCAACTTTTTTCCAAAAAATGGCTACATTTAAAACAGAATCTCACCATTTGGTTTGTTTTCCTTATATGTTGAGTGCTATTAACAGGAGAAATTCAAATAAATATTCACTTTTATTATGAGTTTGATTATTTTGTTGTTTATAGTAATTTTTCTTTTATAAATGTTTTTTAAATAAAACCACTTAAATCCATAATTTATTCTACTTGGAAGAAATGACTTTCAGTATAATGGTATTCTTTAAATGTATAAAGTACCTTGTCCCTGAATGTTGCCAGTATACTATTCAAGCATCTGGGGGCCCACTTGCTTCATTGGAAACTTAGCTGAGGCTGATGCTGACCCCTGGCAAAAAGCTGGCAGGCAATCCAAGTAGACTGTGTAACTCTAACCCAACCCAAGTGGGATTTGCAGGGGGATCAGAAGGCTAGAGTTGGATTTTCATAGAGTTGGATTTTCATTTTTTTTTTAAAGATTCATTTATACATACAGAGCTGGGCTACAGGCCAGAGATGCAGGGGTAGTGAGAGGATTCACCAGAGACAGAGTGGGGAGACCTATGAAGTACACTGCTGAGGGGAGCAGCGGGCAGGCCAGGAGAGTCTGCCTCGACATGTGGATCACCCCTGGGGCGGGGACTGAACTCATGCTGAAGTGGCTTTAGCTTCTGTGCTGTGCTTTTAACTTGCTGCTCCATCAGGATGGGCCCTTTACTTTACTTTCATTTGGTACATTTTTGTATGACTGCTGCAATTTTTCATTGACTCTTGATGAACATTTGGTTTATTTTTAGCTTTAGGTATTATACATAATGCTGCTGTGAACATTTATGTTCATGTATTTAGGAGCATGTTTTTACACACTTTTTAAAATCTATACCTAAGCATAGAATTGCTAGGCCATAGATCATTGTGTTTGCTCAACCTATTAGATAATTTCAAACAAATTACCAACTTCTCTCTACCCATACCAGTTTGAGAGTCATCATCTGCTTTGCATACCTACTAGTACTACACTTTCCAATGATAGGCTCTGGTGCCTGTATTTACAATTTCTCACATATTCCTGTTTTCTTCAGACTTCCTCCAAGATGCCTTTGTTTGCAACTGTAGGGTTTAGGGTGGTGCAACGAGAAGGAAAGAGTCTGCATTTGGATGACATTGAGCTTTAGTTTGTTGCCTTGACTGCAAGGTCATAATAGTCAATGTTCACATAATCCTAGATTAGTACATGCTTTGGTGGTTAGTATATACTCTTAGTACAGACTTCAGCATTCTGTTTACCTCTTTGGGTCAGTGATCATTGACAATCTTGCCAGTTCTTTAATTCCATAAAAATATGTACTGTTAAAATTTTTATCCAGCATTTTCTACTTGAGGGACTTAGCTGTGTTTCTGGAAACTGAAATGTCTTTGATTGAATTTCAATTTTTAAATTGTTCATTTAATTTTCTTACCTTTTTATTGCTGTTGATTTTCTTCAAATATTTGACAATTTTGTACATATTTATAAATAAGAATGTGGCTTATTCATGTAGAGAGTGGCCAAGATAAAAGTGAAAACATTGTTTATGTATACTTGGTGATTGTGCTTTACCAGATAATCCTCTTTTGCAAGTTCACTCAAATATTTATTGAGTGCTTCCCACATAGAAGGAACAGTACTAAGTTGTTGGAACAGAGTGGTGAATTAGGTGGAGTTTACATTGCAATTCAGAAGGACGCTGAACACCTAACCATGTCATTATTTAATTATTTTGATAAATATTGTAAAGAAGTATGTGAGGCTATGCAAATTTGCAAAAGGCGCCTAACCTACTCTAGTTCTCTGAGTTGAAAGCTCTCAGAATAACAAGTGATAATTTTCTAGGAAAAAGGGGAAATGATGAGGGAGAGGCTTGGGAGAAAATCTGTATATATTCTCATAAAGGCATTTCTTTAGTTGATTTTTTACCTGTAATTCATGAGTATATACTCTGTTAAGGCAGTCTGCCTATTTTTCATTCACCAAACCTTACTATAGGGGTAGGTAGATCAAAGTTTTAGTCTTTACAGTATGTAGTTTAAGCAAAGAGAAAAGAGATTGGAAATGGAGATTAGTATAGAATCCTGGAGTAGGAAAGGAACATTAGGTAACAACTAAGGAAACCTATGTATTAATATGAGCTATATGAAACTCATCACAGTATATTTGAAATCTGTGAATCTAACCTTAAAAAAAAAACAGTTTATTAAACACAACCCCAAAGCATATGCAAAATTAAAATATATATAGCATATTAAGTGCCTTAATACTTACTGTAGACTTAGAAATAGAACTCAGAAAATCAAAGGAAAAGAGAAAATAGGAATCAAGAAAAAAAGTAAGCACTGGAGTAATTTTTCCCCAAAATTTCAACAAGGTCATGTTATTTAAGAAAGAAAAAGCAACAGATTAGAAATGAAACACAAAATTTGGAGGAATCTAAAAACTATATTATGGGAAATCAGCAAAATGACTAGTGCCCAGGAAGATGTTTTGGAATTTTTTTTTATTAAAATACAGTATTTAGGCTCTCCCTGGTGGCGCAGTGGGTTAAAGCACTAAGAAGCTTAAGTCACTTCCGCATGAGTTTGATACCCACCTGCCCCGAGGAGATCCACATGGCACAGCAGACCTCTCCTGCCTGCCGGCTGCTCCCCTCAGCAGTGTACTTCGTCTATCTGCCTGTTCTGCTCCCCACTCTGTCTCTGGTGAATCCTCTCACCCTCCGCATCTCTGGCCTGTACCCCAGTTCTGTATGAATAAATAAATAAATCTTAAAAAAAATACAGTATTTAGCCATTCAATTGGTAAATATTAATTGAGGCACTTTTATGTGTCAGGTACAATTTTAAATGTTACGCAAGTCAACATCCCTGATTTCACTGCATATTAACATTCTAGAAAAGGGAAACAAAAACATGCCAGATGGAGTATTAGGCATATTTTTTGTGTTTGAATGCTCTATTACTTTCCTAAGACTGACAGAATAAGGTACCACAAACTGGACTGCTTAAACAAGAGAAATTACTCACTGTTTTGTAGCCTAGCCATCCCAGATCAAAGTATCAACTGTGTTATTTCCTTTGAACCTCTGTCTTTGGCTTGCAGATGGTCACCCCCCCTCCCTGTATTGTCATATGATCTCTCCCTGTGCACCTGTGTTCCAATCTCTTATTATGATGGTTAGCAGGAAACTCCCCAAACAAAAAGGGAATGTCCTCACCTAACTGCTTAAGAACTTTGTAAGACCCAAAAGCAGACATGCAGAGAAAATTTTAAAAAGTTTATTTACATGGGGGAGTAAGGAGAGAAGAGAAAGAGAGATGAATAATGGGTGAATATGTGGTTAGATGCTATCTGTCCTACTAGCAATACCAGGGTGCAAGTCAGAACTGGAGGAACAAGGGAGGAAGTCCACCTTTCTTCCATCTTTTATAGGTCAACAATGCTACTGAGCTCTGCTCTTGCTTCCTACTAGACCCCTTACCCTCTGCTTCCTGGCTCAGGGTCCATTCCATGGCATGCTGGGAATTGTGAGATATCTGAGGCATGGAGATGGGTTTGATGTTCACAGCTTCTTGAGCTCTGATCTGAGGCATGCCAGGTTGCTCTAACATGAGGACACCAGTCACATTGGATTAGAGTTCACCCTAATGTCCTCAACTTACCTTAATTACGTCATTAAAGGACCTGCCATCAGTATCAGTACAGTCACCTTTTAAGTGCTGGGGCTTCCATACTTCAACAAAATTCAACGTAAGAATTTTGGAGAGGCCCAATTCAGGCCATAACAGATGCTATATTATGCTGTGGAAACAAATTAACCCTAGATACTTAGTGGTTTGATGCAAATGTTTTATTTCTCATCATGCAAAATCCAGTGAACCAGACAGCTTCCCAGGGCAACTACCTGACAGGGTGATTCATAATTCAAGCTGTTTCCATTGTGTGGCTTTGTCAGTACAACTTGTCTCCAATATTGCTGCAGGAGAAGAGAGCTGGAGGGCTGTACATAGAAGTGAATGTGTAGCCTTCTGCCCATGGAATGTTGGTAAAGCTAGTCAAGTGGCCCTGCCTAGTGCCAGAGTTAGAAGGGTGGGGCTGGGAAATGGATATTTAATGAGCTACACATGTCTCTGCTACAGAGTGTAATAAGTTCCAAAGTAAAAGACTAGGCAGAGTAGGACAACATAGAAGTGTTGTTTTAGAAAGGGTGGTCAGAGAGGTCACTGTGAGAAAGTTCAATTTAAGCAGTCACAAAGGAAGTGAGGGATGGGGTGGTTAGTGCCTGAGGAAACCAAGAAATAATGAGGAATGCACATGGTTGGAACAAGACTGGTAAGAAGGGGCCACATTATGGAGTACCTCACATAGGAGACAATTTTGTGTTTTTTTAATTGGAAAATAGAATCCTTTGGGGTAGAAAAATAATCAGACTTAAGTTTTGAAAAATATCTCTGGTGATTGTATAGGGGGGAAAGCCTGGTTGAGGCAAGGATGGAAACTTGGAGAAAAATAAAACACTCATTTACTTGGGCAATCAAGGAACTGGAGCTGGGGCTCGGGCTGGGATGTAGCACTCTCCCAGATGATCTTCACCCATTCTGTCCTCAAACCACCAGCATATATCTCTACCTTTCCTTCCTGTAGCTTATTAAGTTATACATAGTCAGAAGGGAAACAGCAAGCCTACCAAGTTACCTGTCTCTGTGCCTGGTGTGCCCCTTGCTCTCTTATCTTATGGATCACCTCTCCTGCCTTCTCAAGGATTTCCTTCCTACATGGTACACTCTCCTGCAGCTATGTCTTCAACAATAGGCATTTCTATTAGCATTAAGTATTTTGTAAATATTTACACCTTAATTCCATATCTTTTGTCTGCTCTTCTCTAAATCCCCTCCTACTCTTGTAGCAAAAAGAAATAGGTTTATTGGCTGTCACCATTTACCTCTACAGTCAGACTTCAATCTCCACCACTTAATTGCTTTATTCTTAAGGTCTCAATGATCTCTCTGCATTGCAAATTCCAAAGGTCATATCATTTTACTCAGTCTCTCAGTAGCAGATGACAGATACTCTGGCACTTCCTTCTCTCTCAAATATTTCTTCACTTAGCTTTTAGGACTCTTCCCTCTGACTGCACTTACTACTTTTTTGCTTGCCTTCTTATCTCTAAATTGCCACATAACTGGCTTTCAGATCCCCTTCTCCTCGCTCTGCTGTGATTAAAGTCCTTAGTCAGTGACTTTTAGTGATTTTCATGCTATAGGCTATAGCTGTTTCTCAACAAAAAAATCAGTTGGATTGGGAGTAGACATTTTAAAAAATGGAACATAATTAAGATGATAACAAGGAAAGAGTGCATTATACTCGGGGAGTGTAAATTTGCTTCTTGAAATGTGAGTGTATTTTGTCATATTAAAAATAGAAAAAATAGTCCTTCATGCTGGGCCCCAACCCAGACTTAATACCTTTTGCAATTTCAATCTCTTTCAAAAGTATACTACTAAATCACTTGTTAACTGGAAATAAAATCTCAGTAGTTAGACAAAGAGTTTATTAGATAATCAAAATGAAGATTCCATTTGGCAAGCAGTCAGATTTTATTCTATGAGAACTGTTCCAATAGACACAAGTTTGACTTTAGTTTATATAGGTGGGAACAGTAAGTCATTAAGAATATAATTACTTTTTGTAATCACGGCTTTTAGTTCCAGGTTGTCCTGAGCTAATGATATTCTGACAAGAGGGGAACATAATGTAGGATATGCCTTTCTAAAGGATGCCTTGGAGATCTGTAAAACCTATTGTTAAAGCTTTTTTATCTGGCTCCTTGGTCATCAATGAAAAGACTGGCTTTGCCTTCAGGCAGCCAGTGAAGATGGCTTTGCTCTCTTCCCTGCTAAACCAGGGGCAGGACCCCTGGAAAATTTTATGTGTACACAATCAATGTGGAGTTTCCTAATCTACAACATGGAAGGAATCTGTATAAGATCCACCTCCTCCCCAACCTTGGAAGGTGGCTTTACCTGAAAGTCTTATATGAGGATACACAAGGTTGTTATAAGGAAAGAGTGCATTACACTCTTATAACAACCTTGTGTATCCTCATATTGTATGCACCCTTGACATATCTAACAGGATGCTGCCCAACTCATGAATCATTTAATAAAGCCATTTTGATCTCTAAAATTGTGAATCTGTTTTATTTTTTACAGTCAGTATGTAAAATGTATTTTGTATTCAGGTTTGAAGTCAGAAGGCCTAAGTGTTCCTGTTCTGTGTGATCTCATTCAATCTACAGCCAATTTATGACTAGTCAATTTATATCTCTTTTCTGTGCTTTCAGAATTCTGGTGGTTCTACCCAATTGCTGATAGTATATCTTCATTTGGATATCTAATAAGTATATCCATAATTAAGTTCATGATTCCTCTGTAATTAAGCTTTTTTATCTAAATAAATGACAAATCCATTCTTTTGTTTGTGCAGCCTCAAAACACTATAATCATCCTCACACTTGTTCTTTCGCATCTACCTCTAAACTTGTACATTCTGTTGATTCTACTTTTGAAATATACCAAATACTTTTGTGAAGCAAAATTGGCACCAGCATTGCATAGGAAAACCAAAATCAAGAAAACAACTAGATATGCAGAAACCACATCCTCTTGGTTTTTAATAAAAAGGAAAAGGCACTTAGAATTATGAAACAAATTGATGGCTGGTTCTACCATATCACAGCTTTGCAAGACTTCAGAAGTCTCTGTTCACCTTTTTGTGATGGTGCCCAGAAAAGATGGCCCCGGATTCTCAGACGGGTCTTCAAGCTGTGCTACTCTGGCAGGTGCTGGCATATTTTGAGCTAAGGACAATGAAATCCCTAGAGGCTCAGGAGAAACTTTTGCTCTTTGACTGAGTCCTTCACCCTTTTCTAATCTAAGAATGACCACTCCCTGTGATTTTACTATTTCTTAATTGAAGAAGTTATCACTGCTGCTCTTTTAATGACCTTGATGATTATAGTTTGGGAATATAATATCATTAGGGTGAATGTTTGTCCCTAAACATGTCCTCTTTTAAGAATTTCATCTTTGCACTCAGAGTAAAAGATGAAGTTATCCCCTCTGTCCTGTAAACTTTTTCTCTCTCCTAATCTGTTTTCAGACTCCTCACCATCAAATTTATACCTCTTTCTCCTTATCTGATGAGAGGACTTGTGTAATCATCAATAGATCCCCCAGGCACATTATTAAATTGTTTTTCCTTTGATTACTTGTTCAGTTGGAGAAGAACCTAGAGGGGTGGGGGATTTTCCCCTGTATCCAGATGTTTGTAAATTCTCCACTATATCTAATGGGATCACTAGTATGTCCACTGTGTTAGATGAAATGCCGTTACAGAGTTTTATATATAGTTTATCTTACATACACACCAAAGCATTTTGTCTTTTGCAGTGAAATTCTAGTTAGAAAATTAGGAATGGTTAAATATGTTCAACCACAGAGAGATTTGACTTGGGACAACACTGTTCACATGGCTCAGGTCTGACTTCTTTCTTTCCACAAATTCTAGTAGAGGGTAGATAATTTCCCTAGTTGGAGGCAATGAAAAGGTAGTATTACAAGAGTTTCCATTATCACAAACAGGACTTGGAATTAATCTGCCACAAGGCCAGTTACCCTATTCCAAGTGAGCACCTGATCATCTGTGAGCAATTCCCTTCCGGTGGCTTTCCATTCTAAGTGCCAAGACTTCTTCCTAGTCATACTTAGTCTCCTTGTTGGCAAGCCTATCCTTCATTCCAGTGAAGGTGGCAAGCTTCCAGAGCAGGACCTGGATACATCCAAGCTGTCACCTGCCCTTCTCTCAAAACTCGATCTCTTGCCAAAGATAAGATAATGTTACATTTATTGAGCACTATATGTATTGGGCACTTTAAAGTGCTGTGTCAGCATTTTCACTTCCTCTTTATTATGATTACTCAGAAGGTGCTATCTTTCAGGTGGACATTAATTGTGTAGATTGTAAATCCTGAGCCACGATTCAGCCGTGAGTACAAGCCTAACTCACAGACTCTTCTGGATCTCAGAGTTGGATGTGCATAAAAGCCGAATGCTGATCAGAAATTTATTTAGATGTCTTTGCATTTACACATTATAGGTTAGTCTCCATGAAAATGATAGTAAGATATAATTTTAAACAAAAATTGTATTAAGTTCCATAATCATTTCTCACACCCTTCCTATGGTAGGGGGTAGAGGTGTAGGTTGTGGGCATAACATTTGCGTCAGGTTAAGAGGCAAGAACAAAAATGTTAAGGGCAACAAAACCATTACTGCTTCTTTTGCAGTGGTCTCTATCCGTTTGCTGACTTTGTTTACAAGAAATAGTTCAGTTTTTTTTTCTCCCAATACCATGCAGGAACGAATTTCCTCTTCCAAAATACTAATAATATGCACGGCAAGTACCAGGGGTTCCTAAAAGACAAAGCCCGCGGGTGGGAATCACCTTTCCCTTGCCTGCACTGGACTGAACACGTCAATCCCACTTCCAAATGGCAGACGCAAGCCCACCCGCCCCCCGCACTCAGTGGTTGCTCGGCAACAACTCCGCCCAACCCCCGGGCGAGCACGTGACGCGAATGTCACGTGACAGGCTAGTCCGCGGCGTCCGGCTAGGGAATGTAAGCAGGCCGGGCTGTGGCCGAGCTGTGGACCTGCTGTGTCCGCGTCTCCGGCATGGTCCTGGCACGCCGGGGCGGCCCAGCCGCTAGCTCAGCGCCCACCTGAGGTAACTCCTGTGGCCTCGGGACGGTGTCCCCATCGTCACGCTTAGCTCCTGCCTTCTGCTGTGGTAGAGACCGGCCGTGCCCTGGGCCAGGCAGGGGGTGTGGCTGCTGTCTGTTCGGTCCGCGACGGGTGGATCGGTGGGGGGGTGGGGGGGTGGCCGTCGAGGCCGGGGTCTTATCGCCAAGCCGGCCGAAAGGCGGCGGCGACCCCGGAAGGTGGGCCCTCCCGCGACGCTGCTCCAGGCTGCCCTTGAAGCCGGCGGAGACCTGGGCCTCAGGTTCCGTTGGGCGCTGGGGGGCCTTCGGGTGTTACCGTCGAGTCTCAGTTGAAGTCCTGCCCTGGTGGGGCTGTGGGACCTGGTGCATTTCAGCTCTCGACTTTGGCCAGATTTCACATGTGTAAAATGAAAGTCTCGGCCAGGTAATCTGTGAGGACCTTGCATACGTTTCTGGTGTGTGTGATCTCGGGAGAGACCTGCAACCTTTGGAATCGACCACAGAAAGCATAGGTAGATATTTTGTCTTTTAATTGCTACTTTTTTTTTTTTTTAACTTTAACTCCTTCATCTGACATGATTTGGATTCTTGTTCTCCAGGCTGTAGGTTTTAATAGAAAACTTAATGCTTTTTTGATGCAACGTCTTTCTTAAAACCTTATTTGGAAACCCAATATGTGAAAAAGATAAACAACAGACCTGATTCAATCTACCTCACTGTCTCCCCTCCCCCTTCCCCCGCACCCTTGAGGTCTCCAGATAAGATAGCTGGTTGAGAAGTGCTATTAACAAAGTTGAGGAAATGTTTTGTGTATTTGTTATTTTGATAGGATGGGAAAGAATGAATCCTTGTCGTGTGTCCTCTGTTATTTTTCCCTAGGTGTGTCATGCAATTAAACTGTATGTTCCTCACATATAATGGGAAAAGGCCCAACATTTTCATTAAATATCTTTCTCTCTTGCATCCCTGTCCCAGGCTCCCACGAAAGTATTTATAGTAGTGAGAACTTACAGCTGTTGTTGGTTTAATTACTCGGCACAGAATGGGAGTGGAAGACTTTCTGCAAAACTTTAACGAAAAATATGAAATATTGGCTGTGAAAAATAGGAATGTTAGAAGAATATATGAACTAAACTCATTAGAATTATGGGGTGTGACTATAGTCCAAATTTTGAAAACCTGGAAGAAGAGAGTTTCGTATTTTGAGAGATCTGGGTTTAGGACAGAAAGAAGTCCTATTCATAAAGTGAGTGAACAAATAAAGAAATACAACGTGGTGGTGTATGGAAAGGAAATCAGAAGGATTTTTTTTTAAGTGAGGAGAAATGTACAGTTCTTATTTCTTTGTCTTTAAGAACGTGGTGGTGTATGGAAAGGAAAGCAGAAGGATTTTTTTAAGCTAGGAGAAATGTATAGTTCTTAATTCTTTGTCTTTAAGTCTGAGATTAAGAGAGGAAAGCCATACTGTAGTTTATACACTCAGAACTTGTGTGAGGTTAGCCGGAATTGGAAGTTCAGTGACTTGACTGGAGCCCAAGGGGGTCTAATGTAGTATACTTTCTATTTGAAAGCAAGCTCAGTTCCTTAATTTTTGGGTTAGGCTTAGACAAGTCAATTACCTTACTTAGGTCTCTTTTTAGCTTGTATGTCACACATACAGAAATACATAATTTTTGACCCCAGTTAGGGTTGCCATATAAAATTTAGGACACACTGTTAGATTTGAATTTCAGACAAAGAATAAATAAGTCATTCAATAGTACAGCGGGTATGCAGATATTTAAATAATTATTTGAGAGCTCTTTAAAAAAGTGTTTATGAAATATGTCACACATACAAAAATATGTAATTTGCGTACATAAAACTCAAAAAACAGAATATTACCCTTGCTATTGACACTTGTGGGCCCTTTCTACTTCTTTTCCTCAGAAGTAACCAACATACTGAATTCTCTGCCACTTTTTCTGTTTTCTTGTAAATCCTACTTCATTTGTACGATCCTCTCAAAACATTGCTTACTCTCGTAGGTTTTTAACTTTATGTAAATGGCATCATGCTATGTAAATATTTTTCTGACTTGTTTTTTTATTTTCATTTACTGTTTTTCATTCATGTTGAGTTATTATCCCCAGGTTCCATGCTTGTTGTTTTTTTCCAAGTGTAAGGAAGGGTTGTAGGGTGTATGCATCCATATAGTATTAATTTCTGCTAAAATGCTAACTCACCTTTCCTTGTAGTTGTGCTGATTTATTCACCTCAAGTGTTGTATAAGATTCTGTTGTCATCCTCTGCATGCTTCCTGGTGTTCCACAGGAGAAAATTGTATCTAATAAAGGTTTAGTATCCAGAGTATGTGAAGAATGCTTACATCTTAACAGTAAAAAGAAAAATAACTCGATTAAAAATTAGAGAAAAAATTTAAATCAACATTTGTTGGGACAAGCTATAAGAATGGACTAAATGCACCTGAAAAGATGTTTGACTTTATTATCCACTAGGGAAATGCAAACCCAAACCACCATGAGGTATGTCACACTGACTCAGAAGACCATAGTCAAAAGGACAAAACTAACAAGTGCAGGATTGTAGAGAAATTAGAATCCTCATACGCTGTTGTTTGGGATGTAGATTGGTACAGCTGCTTTGAGAAGTAATTTGGCAGTTCCTCACACAGCTAAACATGGGGGCACCAAATGACAGGCATTTCCATCCCTGTGTAGATACTCAGAGAGATAAAAACATACACCCATGCTAAAGCTTGCACACATATATTCACAGTAGCATTCTTTACAATAGCCAAAAAGTAGAAACAACTCAACTGTTTATCAGTTGATGAATGGAGAAATAAAGGGTGGCTTATCAATGTAGTGCAGTATTATTCAGTCATAGAAAGGAATGAAGGACAGATTCATGCTCCAACATGAATATAATTATGCTAGGTAATAAAAGCCCATCCCAGAAGGCCACATATGCCGTGATTACATTTCTGTGAAATGTCTAAAATACACAAAGTTGATTAGTGACATCCTAGTGTCATCCTGGGGAATAGGGAAATTGATTGCTAATGAGTAATGGATTTCTTTTAGGTGGAATGTTCTAAAATTGTTTGTGGTTGTGGTTGCTCAGCTTTTTAAATTATCCTAAAAACCATTGAATTCTACACCTAAAAAAAGTCACTGCTGGAAGGAAGGAAACTTACAAAACGTAAAAGATGCCATATTATGAGCTACCCTATGGAGAGGCCTGTGTGATGAGGGACTCAAACTTGCTCACAACCACATGAGTGAGATTAGAAGCAAATATCTCCTGTTCCCTTGCAGTGTGAAATCTTCACTTGTTCTACAGCCTGTCTGACAGCCTGACGGTCACCTGACTTGCTAGAACGCGTGCCAGAGGTACCCACCTAAGCTGTGTCTAACTTCTTGAACCATGAACTCTGGCAAATAAATTTTTATTGTTTTAAATCATAGAATTTGGGGGTAGTTTGTTTTATTTTATGTTGTTTTATTGTGATTTTAAAAATTTGTCATCTTTTTATGCTGTGTAATGAGTAGTACCCAGGATATGCCATTTCAGATCATACAGCAGAGCATTTCTCATATAGTTAAGATTTTCTGGCAACCATTTTAATGTTAATAATTATGGATGGTATTCAGATATCTTAGACAGATTTGTTTATTATTTATGGCTTTAGCAAAATTGCAGTTCCCTTGAATCAGCCTTTTCTTATTGGAGCCATATGCAGTGAGAGTTAAAGATTTTTTTTTGTTCTTTCATTTGAATATTTCTGTATTTCAATTGAAGAGAGGTTGTATGACTTTACAGATATGGAAGTCACAGTGAGTCTTGAAATTTGATTTAAAAACTGAAGATATGTTTCAAAAGTTTTCAAAGATTCTTTGAATCTTTAAAAAATGCAAATGATTTATATTAGTTAATACATAAAGATACCTGAAATACTGTTTCAAAAAAGCAGACCATATTTTTTTCTTCTGTTTTCTTCTTAAGTTTTATCATTTTATCTCTTAGATCTTGATCTATTTTTAGGAGTTGACTGGCTCTGTGGTGTAAAGTATGTGTCTAGATTCATTATTTTGTTTTATGAATACAAAGTTGTTTGGTACTATTTATTGAAAAGATTATCCTCCTTGTATTGAGTTTCTTGTCTTTTATTTCTCCTTTGATTTACCATGACATTTTTTTGTTGCAAATCAGCTGATAACCTATGTGTGGATCTATTGTAAACTCTGTGTGTGTGTGTGTGGCTATGTCAATACTATAATGTATTTCTTGTAGTAGTTTTACGTATGATTTGAAATTAGTATAAATTTTCAACTTTATTCATCAGTATTTTAAAATCATCTTATTAGTTTCAAAAATCATTTTAGGGTTTCTCCTTGGTGACTAATGGGTTGAAGCGCAGCACTATGAAGCTATCTGCGAATTCAGTTGAGATTGACTTCAACGGTTTGGAAAATTGCTTTCTGGTTCATGAATAGTAGAGGTTAGTGGCTGTAGAGGGGCAAGAGGGAATTTTTTTGTGGTGATGGAATGTTCTGTATGAATTTTGATTGGGTGGTGTTATGTTACATACATTTTGCTCAAAACCTTTCCAGCTACTCTTAAAATGGGTATGTTTTACTTTATATAATTTTTTTCTCAAAACAGTTGATTTAAAAAGCAAGGGTATAAACAGCTTATATGATAAGCATATGTGTGTGTGTGTGTGTGTATATACATATACACACACACACATATATAAAATGTTATGTAAAATAGCTAAATGTATGTTCATATGCATGCATAGAAAATATCTAGTGTATGTGCATGCATAGGAAATTGCTTATTTCTAAATGGTGTTTAAAACAATAATGGGGCTTTTACATATTTAAATTATTATTATTATTTTTTAAAGATTTATTTATTTGTACATACAGAATTGGGGTACAGGCCAGAGGCTCAGGGGCGGCGAGAGGATTCACCAGAGACAGAGTGGGGAGCAGAACAGGCAGATGGACGAGGTACACTGCTGAGGGGAGCAGCGGGCGGGTCAGGAGAGGTCTGCCACGCCATGTGGTCACCTCTGGGGCAGGCCGGGATCAAACTCATGTGGAAGTGGCTTTAGCTTCTCAGTGCTGTGCTTTAACCCACTGCGCCACCGGGGAGGGCCCTAAATTATTTTTTAATGAACTTGATAACAGAAAGGTTTTTGTTTGGTCAGTTAACAGTTTTCTTTTTAGATATTTTCAGTTTTTAAAGATTTATCAATCTTAATTATGTTCATCAACATAATAATGATAAAATATGTTTAAAATTTAAGTATTCTTACTGTGTAATCACCACCAGTTGAGCACAAACCCTTGCAGTGCCTTTGATGGCTCCCCTCTCACTCCATATAGTGGTACTTCTTCAGAGACATAATTGCTACTCTGAAGCTTGTGTTGATTATTTTGTTTTTTATAATTTTACTACCTTCGCACCCCTAAGCTATTTTTTAAAAAATCCCTGTACT